TCGTCAGGGAGTCCGTAAACTGTCCCAAAGACTCGCATATCGGCGAGTCACGTGACCATTCAGCCGTAGCCCACGCCGCCGCTTGTCCGGTGAGATGGGAAATCATAAAAGCCACCTTGGATCTCTCTGTGGGAAAGGCTGTCGGAAGTTGACTATAATGTAGGCTGCAATTCACCAGAAAGGGACGGCAGTCATGGGATTCCCCGGAAAACTTCTCAGGCGGAGCCAGACGGATTGACACGGTGTGGGAAGCGGGCACCGGGTCCGCATTCGCTTCGGGTCCGGCCGGAGGTGGGGGTGAGGGCTCAGCCTTGAGGTGAGTGAGCAGGTGGTGAACCTGCCCCGCCAGGTGGTTAATCTGGTTTGTTACAGATGACTCGAACTCCCTCTGGCTGTCTGTGACGTGCGATATTCCCTGCTGGAAGGCCGTTAAATGATCCTCCTGTTGAGCGAGGCGGCCTGCCTGAGAGCGAAGCGCTGATTTCAGCTGTTCAGAGTCGGCTGAGTTCATGTTTTGGCCAGTTCGTACTGTTACGACTGAATAAACGGGTTTGAACTCAAATGCACGACTCACACAGGTTTTAACAAAAAAAGGTTTATTTCAAACCAAAGCTCTTCTACAGAGGTCAAAAAACAAATTACTCTTAACGAGGAAAAACAGTTTCAAAACAAAGTCACTCTTAATGAGGAAAAACACTAACAAAACAAATCTCAGAAAACAAGACGTGGCTCAAAGCTCTGCTTGAGATTTTACCTGGCATGATACACTTGTGGTTAGTCACAAGAAACGAAACGAACTGGCACAGGACAAAGGGAGACGAGGACAATAAATACACCAGGTAATGGGGAACAGGTGGAAACAATCAGGGGCGGGGTCGACAATCACAGGTGTGGGAGACACACAAGGAAAGGAGGTCAGAGTATCTAAAACGAGAGGGAAGGTTACTATTAAAAGATAAAGGGGAAAATCACTAGACAAAGACAAAAACACTAAACTAAACTAACATAATTTGCGAGAGATGACAGTGATTTGACCAAGCAAACGCGAGAGACGGCTGAGTTGACCGCAGTACCGGAACGGACGACAGTATCTTAATATCTTCTGAAAACAAAAGCCAGTGTCATACACACACACACACACACCCTGGTGACCGGACATCTCCTTCATAAATAGAACAATAGGGCGTAATAATCGGGCAGTTCGATGTGTGTAGAGGTGTGTGTGTGTGTAGAGGTGTGTGTGGCTATAACGAAGCAGCCTGCAGTCGCTCTTTAGCTGTTAGCTAAGTAAACACAGCGAAGGCTGTGTGTAAAAGGCACAGCTCCACTTTATGAGAGGCCGTCTAGCTCACAACTCATACTTGGTCTTACAAATAATATCAGAATCTCACATGTACACCACCAGACTCTTTCACACACAGTATCATACCGTCTTTAACGTACTGTCATTCCTTCCTTCATTTACTATCATACTATCATACATAAATAACTATTCTCTCTCACACACAAAAACAAAATCTCTTAAACGCACCATCATACTCTCGTACACACACCACTATCGTCTTTCACAAACAACTATAATAATAATCTAATTTTTATTAGCCTTAACATGAAGTAACATTAAGTAACCCAAAATGTTAAACAGTAAGAGTCGTAGTCCTATTTCGTGAACCCTTTGAATAGTACTGTCACCGGTGTGATCATTCTATAATACACAATTTAAGCCCGGGGGAGAAATGCTAACGCTAACGCTAGCATCGGCGATCTTCTCTACTTCATGCTATCTGCACAAATGGTTGACATTAAACATTAAAACGACCAGGCAGTTCAGAGAGAATCAAAGGACGGCAGGCAGCTTTGCATGACATTCTTCAGGACGTGTTTCATTGTGGTGATAGTGAGGGTAGTCAATCGTTTTGTTGACAAGACAGTAGTGACGGCCATCTTGGTGACGTGTGTTGTTGACCAGAGATGTAGTTCATTGAGCGTTTCACACAAACAAATGTTCACAGTTTTACGACACATTTTATTTTTTTTTACTTGCAAAATTATCTTTTAAATTGACAAACATCATACAGTAGGCTATGTGTAATTCGTGGCACAATTCAAACGGGATCGAAAGATAATCGCTCTCTCTCCATTGACTTCAATACATAATTTTTCCGAAATAAGGTCCCATGGAGGTCCACCGGAAGGGGAGGGACTTCGCCTCTCTATAAAGACGGAGAAAGTAAAGAATAAAGTGCATGTTTAAATGTTAGCACCCCCCGAAGAGGCTCAAGGTTGGTATTTACTATAATATAAAATTGTAGGTTGTGTTCCAATTCGTTTATAAGCTGTGTAGCTTTGCTGTCTGTTTACAGTTAACTTTTGGTAGTATGCTAAAGTGATTCTAATACGGATTGAGCCTAAATGTATTTGTTATTTTTGTGTCTTTATAGCTCTTACGTTGACTCTGGAGTTTCAATAAATTCTAAATCATCAGTAAAGTCTACGACCATATTTCGGAGGGATATGCTACAGATAGCATTAGCTATATTGACCTTGTTTACACTTAGCGGTCCTAAGTGTTAATCTGTGTATGTTACACTTGCATGTATGAGATCATTAAGTGCCTTGTAACTTCTTTTATTATAGTTTCACTCCGTTTGAATGTCAGTGGACTGCAAATAAGTCAATAAAAGAGCATGGCTGCTCATTCCCTGGCTCTCAAAAGAGTTTGGCTGGCTGTTTAATCTATGTTCACACTGAGACAGTACAACACATAGAGAGAACAGTACACCTATTGTGTAAGTACATACAAGCAGGTCACACAGTATGATCACAAATAGATAAACTCTGTTAAAAATCAGTTTGTATTAAGAAGTATACAGGCTGGCTATGTGTTCTCAGCCTTTGAGAAACTTGACATGTTTTGGGATGTGTCTGAACCTCTCTTTAGTGGTTTAATAAAACAGATATTTCAACATGTGCCTACTTTGTTCATGTGCTGTTGAGGTTAATTTCAGTAGTTGTGTGCTATAATGTATTTACAAAGTGTGAAGAGGAGGCAACTTTAGAATAGGGAACCTGTTCAGGTCAATTAGAGTCAAACTACTATCTTATTGGTTATGAAGAAGACTTCACTTTAAAATAGGGAACATGTTCTTCTGTGGAGGTGTGTGGCGCAATGGGTTGTGTGTAGGTTCGGATCAGGGGGTCACAGGTTCAAACCCCACTGCAGTCAGCATGTCGTTGTGTCCCTGGGCAAGACACTTCACCCCAAATTGCTCCTGTGGGGATTGCCCACAGTATTGAGTATGTAAGTCGCTTTGGATAAAAGCGTCTAACAAGTAACATGTAATGTAATGTAATTCTTCGATATAAATACCTAATTTTGAGTTATTTAGACTTAATTAACACTTATAGTTTCATGTCTTGTTACATAAGTATATATCATATGTGTTAAGTGTTATTATGGGAGAATTACTATTCTTGTGGTACTACTGCCTTATTAGGCCCATATTGAGCATATTAAGACCTAACAACTTCCTTACTTGCAATAAATAAGCACCAATTAGAGGGTTATTGAGGAAAAACTCTCAGCTAATGGCTTATTACTTGTAGGATATGGTCATGTAGAATAAGGCATTAATAAGTGTTGTATAATGACTAATAAAGAGCCAATATACTGCTAATATGCATGTTAATTAACAACTAGTTGATGGTGAATTTGTGTACCTTAATATAAAGTGTTAACAAAAGTTCTTATTGCAGCTCAAATTTAGCTAGCAGTGCTCTGAGCAGCTTCAGGCTTTGTTTTCAAGGCTGTAAACCAGTCAAGGAATGCATATTTAAACTGGCTTCCTGTTGGATCAACCTGACTTCCTTTTAAAGTATACTCTTTCACAACCAGTACAATGTCCTCTCACATAAACTGTTAGAAGCTCTCAAAAACACAAGCATTGTCTTTCACATACACACTACTCATACATACTACAACTCCTCTCTCACATACACTATCATTCTTTCTCACACACAAAGTTTTCTATCTTGCATACACTACTAGAGTATTACATTGTAGTATGATGTGGTCTGTAAGTGGGAATAATAGTGTTTCTAAGAAAGTACAGTTTGGTATGTAAGTAAGTTTGATTTATGGCCCAGACAAAAGTGTGTGAAAGAGAGTATGATTGTGCGTGTAAAAGTGTTTAGCTATTTGTATAAAAGAGTTTAATGGTGTATGTGTGAGATTCTGATATTGTTTGTCAGACCAAGTATGAGTTGTGAGCGAGACGGCCTCTCATACCACTTTCTACTTGGCGAACCTGTAACTTTCTCGTGTGCACGAGAACGTATCTCTTGCGCAACAGAAAGTATATCGTGATGAGCAAAACCATGTCACTTGGCCTAGGTGGTTTCCACAGAACGGACAAAACATGTTTAACGAGCATAAAGGTCCATAGGTACCGGCGGTCTATCCGCCAAAACAAACTTAAGTTTGTGTCAATCTCTTGCACGTCACTTCTGGTATGATGGACATTCCCTTTCCGGTTTGATTCTCTAGTTTGTTAAAGTGTTTCGACACTTGTAAATTTGTCTCTAGCTTTGTAAAAGTGTTACGCATCTTGTTAATTTGTTTTTTCTTTGGTAAAAGTGTTTTGGTAATGTAATTTTGTTTTATAAAATGTAAATTTGTTTTATAAAATGTAAATGTCTCTCAAGCTTTGTTAAAGTGTTTCACACTTTGTAATTGTCGATTGCACCTCTCCAACCAATGGATTCAGTTGCAAATTGTTGAATGATGTGGCACTCACCTCTTGGGCGTTGCTTCATGGATCGCTTATTTTAAATACTTTTAAAACCAACTCACTGAATAGTCTCAAACTGTGACAATGTTTAGCGTTTATACTCTTCCCCTGAGAAACAGCAAATCTTTGCCTACATGGACTATTAATTGCAATTCTGGCCAAAACCTTTTTTGTCAACATTTTAAACAAAATGTAATGAAATACAATTACCTGAAGTTTCTGTAATTATCTTCTTGCTTCTTCCAAGTTTTTGAGTAGTGTTCTCTTACTTTTTCAATGAGCTCCCTGTCCCACACACACACACACACACACACACACACACACACACACACACACACACACACACACACACACACACACACACACACACACACACACACACACACACACACACACACACACACACACACACACACACACAGTCAGGTGTGTGACCCCTCGTGATAACATGAATTGTTCTGATGAAGGCATTAACAGAAAGGTCCCTTCAAGGAGAAGCATGGACGGTGTGTGCTCTCACCTGCATCCTTTGCAAAGGTCAGAGGGCCAAGGGGGGATTTTCTTGGGTGAAGGTGGTCCACGTGATACAAGATGGCTGTGCAGCAATCAAGAGAGAAACAGCACAGCACATTCATTTATACATAGTGCACACCAAAAGGCAAATGAGCTCTATGATGACAGATGTGGTTTACCTAAAACTGCAAAAAAATCATAAACTAAACTAAACTCGTGCAAAACACATTCTCCCTGAATCAACCTAAAAGCAATAATTTAACCTAAATAGTTTTTTTCACTTCAAAGAATGTCACATGACCACATGATGTGGACAAAGCAAGGTCACTGCAAGATTTGCTGCGGCCGCCATTAACCCACTACCCGCTACACCGCGCTGTCCGTGAGAAGGTCCGATCCAGAAACACTTAAATAAGGTAAGGATTTGAAATTGTGTTGTTTTAAAGGTGAATGAGTTTTTTTCAGTGTACGTTTAGTGTCAAGATAGTTAACTAATTTACCGCCTGTCTTAGTACTTGTCTATGTGTAAGCAAAGTTTAGCCGCGTGTTAGCTACTTTTTTAAGGCTTGCTTAACCAGATCATTTTTTAAATGTATCATGCAAAGGGCTAACTTTGGTGTTTCTGTTTGACTAGTGAAAAGTTTAAATTGTTGCATATGTAATATTGGTTTCACATAAGGTCTTTGGATAGGGCTATGGGTTAGCAAGTTTAGCCACGTGTTAGCTAGTTTTTAAAGCAAGTTCAATCAGGTTATTTACATATGTCTCATGCAAGGGGCGTTTGACAAGTGAAATGTTTAAACTGTTAAACTGATATATATATATATCTATATAACTGTTGAGGAGAAAACGTTTAGGAGCACACACACACACACACACACACACACACACACACACACACACACACACACACACACACACACACACACACACACACACACACACACACACACACACACACACACACACACACACACACACACACACACACACACACACAGTCAGGTGTGTGACCCCTCGTGATAACATGAATTGTTCCACAAGTTTCCACAGGTTTTTGGAACCATATTGACACGCTTACCCGTTGTCCACATTGATCCAGAGGGCAATGATCAGCAGGCTCCCCAAACAGAGGGCAGTGATCATTAAAGGGATGGATAACTTCTCATGGTGTCGCTTCATCCCGATCTCTTTCTGCAAACACACTCGATGTCAAACTTTGGACTCTCTGCTCTCCCCTCAGTTTGTAGCCTATCTCTTGCCTCTTTTCTCAGGCAAGTCCTCTGTCTTCTTTGCACTTTGTCTTTCCCCTTCTGTTTGCGTCGGTGTCAGATGGGTCTAAGAACTGATGTCTTTGTTTGATTGAACTCCTACTTTAGTCTTTGTCATGTCTCTGTGTTCCACCCATTTTTTACATGTCCCTCCCTCCATCATTTGTTTTAACACATGCAATACAATGAAGGTGACAGTAGCAATAAAGAGGCTTGTTAAGTTAATCATTAATGTGATCTTGATAACATTGATATCAAATGTAAAAGGGCAAATATGAACCATGTTGTTTGCATAGCTTGTAATTGAGATGAACTAAACATCTGTTGAGTATTTTAACATAAAATAGTTTGATTGTGTTGAATTGAAACCCAAAAAGGCAGTAGGTCCACCAGACCCACGAACACTGGCTGAATAACAAAAATATGAACACCACACAAGGGTTAATACTTGGATTATATGATTGAAGATGTCTTTTCCCTACATGTTAAGCCTTTTGAGTTCAAAGCGTGTGGGAGGATATTGGAGGGTCAGGAAAAGATTTCTCACAATGGGTGAAGAGGTCCGGCTCATTAACACTGATTCAAAACTCTTTAAGGATGGCAGGAGAGCAACAGAGGACATGTGTTGATGTTATTCATATTTATATATCAATACATTTATTTTCTGTTTGAGACTAAGGCACTGACTATATAGTTTAAAGAGGACACAAACTGCTCATTTTCAGATTTGTATTTGTTTTTGCTGCCTCTATACTGTGGCAGAGTCTGCTCTGATTGGTTAGCTGGCCGGCTCTGTTGTGATTGGTCAACCGCTTAGAGATGTCCCACCCCTTAGCCTATCACTTACAATGTGTTGGAGCACTGGCCAATAGAAGCGCGAGTGTTACATAGTGATGTCACTATGTCCCGCTAGTAAACAAAGGAGTCCAATGGAGGCGTTTTAGGCAGGAGGGGGGGGAGGGCGGGAGTGTGTGAGAGAGAAACTCCAAACAAAGGGATTTCAGCCTTTGCAGACCATTTACATGCACTAAATCCTATAGAACACACTGCAGTGAAGGGAAACCCAAAAAAACAGAAAAGGGCCTCCTTTAGAAATGGATAAACTACAGAACAGTTTGGAGACCTTTTATAATAATATGAACTATTTTGAGAACACTTGAGAAGACATAACCAGTATGGACATTTGTATAACTAAAATGATTAAATATGACTCATGTGCCAAGATAATTTGTTCCGTATTGTTTCCCACTGAACCACAAACTGTCCTGCTGCCACACGATGGTATTAGACACAGCCGTGATAATAACCTCATGCTGTTTGCTGTGTTTGATCTGAAACAATGCTTTAAATGCAGCTCGAGGATTGAAGATGCGCTCAGTCAAAGCTCATCAGCACTTCAAAACTGTGGAGCAGATAACAGGAGTTTAAAAGTGTCTGCGGTGATCCGAGCCTCTCTTTGTACTGAGAGCCCGATCCGTAAGTAGATGATGTTGAGGAAATGATTGCTATTGTTTTCACCTTCTCTCTCTCTCTCCGTCTCTTGCATGCCTCTGTTCTCTGTTCACTTGCATGTTTCTCTGTTCCCTCTTTCACTCACATCAAACGCAGAGTTTTCAGCTTAATGGGCCATTAGCACCGCTCCGAGTTTCCGTCGAAAAAACCTCCCCGGGCTTCTCCTCGTAACATTTCACTCACATGTTTAGGGGCTACAAGATAAAACAGATAGATTTGTGCATCCTTCTGAGGAAAGATGGGCCTCCACTGCTACTAAAGATCATATCAATATTTTAAGTAAACCCTAAAGTACAAGGAGAAGCCAGAAAATGTGTAAGTTGATATCGGCTTAGGAAAGTGTGTATGCATTTAAAATCAATTTTCATTTGTTCATAAAAGAATTGGCCAAAATAGGAATGTTTCGGTGCGATGGATTTTATTTTTTTACTTATTCATCCCTTTCAAGTGAGTTAGGAGAGTATTTCCATGCATGCACGTAAACATATATCTTTTAAATATTCTTAACATTTTCTCACCTCTCTGATTCGCTCCCATTCAATTTCCTCAAAAAAACAACAACTCTGAAAACGTTTTACTCCACCAAAAGACGTAATAAGCACTGTATCAGTAATCAGAAATATGCAAACTCATTACCATGTTATAATCAGGCTTTACAGTACATGTCAACTCATTTGGTAAAAGTGCAAGAGACCGTTTCTTTTTGCATCCTGTTTCCAAGTTTCCTACAATTACACACAAACTAGAGCACTCTAAAATATTAGATCTTGCCACTCACACAGCCTACATTGTATAAAAGACCACGAATCTAGCATTTTAAAGAACAGAAACCCACATTTTATAAATTCATTCTGTGTCTACACGGATTTTGTTTCTCTCTTTGCACAGGTCGATCGATAACCTTTAGATGTTCCTCGTGTTGGGATGCGTAAAGTTTTGTTCTGTTGAATAAATGTAAAGATGTAGGAAAAGGTCAGCAAACAGCCCCCCCCCCCCCCCTCCCCCACTCACACATTATGAGCGCTGAATATCATAAGTGACTCAGACACTGATCCGGCCGTGTCCACATTATCATGCACACACACTTCGCCCTTGTCTCAGCACACTCAGCCATTTCATGCATGGATACACTGCAGGTATTATACCCCCCCCCCCCCCCTCAAGGTGTCAAGGTGCACCAAGAACAGAGACGTCTTGAAGATGAAAACGAACAGTTGGTGTACTAAAATATATACTGTATTACTACTGCAGGTCCAGTGGCGACTGGTCATTAGGGGCAGGTGGGGCACAGCCCCACCTAGTGTCAGCAGAAAGTATTACAAGTAATGATTACAAAAATGCAAAAAAATAAATAAAAAAATATATAAAATATATTTTAAGATCATGTTTAATCATCTGATTCGTCTGTACATTGCTGTTTTAGTCTGTGTTCTTCTAATTAGTGTGTCTACAGTCACAGTGTGTGCCTATTGAGCTGTTTAGAGCCATGTGGGACAAAACCTGATTATGCCCCTTCCTCTCGCTGTGAAGTCAACGGTGACTGTAAAAACTTCACTGCGCATGCTCAGAGTATTTTGTAATGAAATGTGTGTGGCAAAAAAATAATGACCAGAGGGGCATGGAGCTACCATCCCCGCCATACGTCATCTCAAATCATTCAGAGCTGATTGGCTGTAAGTACGTTTGCCGCGAAAAGTGTGCTGTGTGAAGAGGAGACGAGAGAGCTGCAGGGGCACGTCCTAAAACCAGGAAGTAAGCACAAAAAAGCAATGAGGTTTCTCCATAGGATTTTAGAAAATAGCTCGAAATAAGATCTGTGGGAAACGTACCTGTTAGATAAATGCACGTTTTGATTAGCCGGATAACATCCACATGTCTACCCTACTTATATAATTTTTTTATCATAAATCTATGGATTAGATTTATGATAGACTTTTGAAACTACAAGAACATAAGGAGGACTTTTACAAAAAGTAATAGAAATGTTTGTCCAGAAGGATAGGCAAATGGACTTCATCTTCAAGTCAAGGTAAGACCGCCATTTTATTGAAAATGGGATCTTACTAAGAGAGAACAATTCAATATTTAAATGATAAAATGACATTTTTTGGGTATCCTTTTGTTGAACTGTCTGTTTAAAATTAATCGAAGCATCAGACAAAAAAAGCTTTTGAAAATAATATTATATTTTGGTTTAGGTCAAAATATAATATTTGTAAACCTGAAGAGTCAGTGCCAGTGCCTCACCAGCCATGAACCTCACTGCACGTCACTGCAGAAGCTTATATATAGACATCTAAGTTTTTTGTGCCCCACCACTTTTGTACATATAAAAACGCCACTGTGCAGGTCATACAATTATAACAAGCTAAAATATTTAAGCCAGCTGATGTAGTGGCAGCTCAGTTTTTCTTCAAAAAAGGACATTTCCGTAAAACTACTGCTTGGTATTAAGATAAGATAACATAAGAAGTACTTCATTGATCCCAAGTTGGGAAATGTTTGTGTTGCAGCAGCATAACAAGACATGGCACTGTACAATACAAATTAAAAGACGAGAAATAAACATTTCAAATTGTCAATATCTCAATAGCAAAAAGTAGAAAATATACATGTTGAATTACATGACAAAATATAAAGCAGGATATTATATATACATAAGGGATTAATGGGATATTAAATATTAGATTGGACATACATTTAAATTGTATAGTATGATTTAGAGTCCAGTTGTCCAAGAAGCTATGGAGCAGTTTGAGGGAAACATATTTAGTCTTGGATTACTTTTGACGTAGAACAGACTTGTTTCTTATGCTAAGGAAGTCTGTAGAGGGACAGAGGATAAAGGGGCCCTATTCTGCTTTTTGGGGTCTTCCTTCCCTATAGTGTGTTCTATAGGTTTTAGTGCATGTAAATGGTCTGCAAAGGCTAAAATCTCTGTGGGAGTTTCTCCTGAACCGCAACCAGGATCTCATGTAATCTAAAGAGCAGAGGTGGGGACTCGAGTCACATGACTTGACTCGAGTCAGACTCGAGTCGCATATTTTTTGACTTGAGACTTGCTTGACTAACATTGATAAAAGACTTGACTTGACTTTGACTTGGTATTCATGACTTGAGACTTGACTTAAGCTTGAGACAGATGACTTGAAAGGACTTGACTGTTTAAAATTAAATATTTGCGTTTGTTTTTGTAGTGAGATATTACGTTTAGTTTTTTCGAAAAACGTGATTGGGTGATTATAGCACCATGCACGCAAACCTGGCAACCCACTAGACGGCAGGAGCATCAGTTAACATGGCAGCAGCTAGCGTTACTCCAAACATAGTGAAGTTTGGATTCAAGGATTATGTTGTTGATGACGCTAATAAGAAGAGAACAGCGGTATGCAGGGTCTGCAGCATAAAGATCAGTGACACGACCACCACAACATCCAACTTCATTCGTCACTACAAAAAACCCACAGAGAAAGGTGCGTGAATGTGTTGTGTTAGCTAGAAAGCTAACGTTAAGTTTAAGCTGCGTTAGACTTGGTTTCAAATCGATTAAGCATTGCAAAGAGAAG